CGGAGGAAAATTCCGTGTTGCCTAGACCACGGCCTTGCCCAACACAAGTTATAAATTCGGGCACCGCCGGGAATCGAACCCGAGACCCCAGGATTACAAGGCCAGCGTTCTAAAGTGCGGAAAATCTATCTACAGCGTCAAGCTATCAGCGGAATCCGGTCCATCCATTATCTTCATGTAGTACAAGCAGTGGACACGCGACAAGTGGACGAACGGTGAGTGGAATGACAAAATCTGTGTTTGGTGCCCGTGAAGTAGCTCTGTGTTACAGGGAGATTGGCTGAAGGACGGAAAATGAAAGCTATTACTGTGTTACTATCCCAGTTTAATCGTATCTGAGCCAAATAAACCCATCTTCAGTGACCCAATGAGTGATCAATGATTACGTCACACCATGAACGTCCCACGTCTGGAAGCTGAAAGTGTTCGAAACTTGGTTAGATTAGTATGAGGCAAATTTACGCGGTTTCCGGGAATCCTTCATTCGCCCACGACATCAGCGCTTCAAGTGAGAGCTTCGTATAAAAGTTAGGTGACACTGCCAACTTCTTATTTCAAGAAACTGGTTCATTTAACTCAGGATAAGAACCAGTGGTGAACTAATTTTAATTTAGACTTTTGTGGCAATGTACAGCGTAGGATGGAAAGATAAATATTAAGCCATCTGCGGCTATTTTAAGAGAGAAAAAAAAAACATCTTTTAGGAAACCAATGAAGTTATTAATTCAGCTCAGATAAAAAAATACGTACACCGCAGGGCTCAGTTTTCCAACCCCTGGAATACAGAACGTTATCTTATTACATAATTAATTAAGAGCCAGATCAGGGCGGAGCGCCCTGAATGGGTGTGGTCACTGATAGAATTATTCATGTACATCAGTGTGGAAAATCTTTTGCATTAATATACATTAGTGCTTTATTTATGGACATCCACGAGGTCCGAACTTGTTATGCTTATTAATTATTAGCCTGATATTGTGGTTTGTTACGCCTGTACGTTCTTCACCAGACTGACGTCGTATCACCACTGCAGACGCTTAGGTATAAATATTCGGGTAACTCATTAATTAATAAAAATGACATTTTAATAATGTTATTTGACTAATATAAGTAAATGACGTACGTCTCTTAAGCTCATTATAAATTTGCAATTTGCTATATATATATATATATATATATATGAGACTAACATTAGTCAACAAATCATGTTAATATGTAACGTAATATAGGTCTGAATGTCTGGTAACTAAGGTAAACAAACATTCGACATTAAGGTAGAGACTGTTGTTTTATCCAGTGATGAAAGAAATATTTTTCTGTGAACAAACCATTAAACTAACAGAGATAAGGGGAAAATTTGTGATTTATATCGTTATTTTATTGTCATACTCTACACATCAGATGCGTTTGCTTAACTCTAAAAAGTAATTAATATCAACAAGGCAGTTTAACTTACTAAATTAATCATCACAATCTACAGAAACAAAAGAATATATCCGAATAAAAACCCCACGTGCTTAAGATTTCAAGCAACAGAAATCACATTTACTGGGACTCGAACCCAGGAGTTTTCCAGCCTGTGGCCTTTGTTTCCATAACGTACTCTTCAAAGCCAGCAACTATGGTCTTAGCGCCCTTGAATTCTAGGTCGAATTTTAGACAAACACACTCTCATTTCTTCCTCGACACAATTTTTGCGAGACATGAGGAACCTTGTTCACAGAGACAAGAAGTTGAAAACTTTGAGTAAGATTTTTCACAACATTCGTAAATTTCGGGGTATTTCAAAATGTTTAATTATATTTATTCAACTATTTCTCGATAAACACTGACATAGAACTACGGTTGTGTTAACCGTGATACACCCCGCATCACACACACACACACGCCAGAGGCCTAATTCATTACATGCGAAGAAGGGATAGAGGGCATATTAGCGAAATTAAGGCCAGTAAGGGATAAACAGCGTGATAATTGGAGTTTTCATTTCATATATACACGTTCCCTTGTATACGATAAGCAATTAGTCGGTGGCTGTCACCTGGGATACGTGTATTCCGGTAGAAGTTGATAGACGTTTCAGATTTGATTACGACCCCCATCATCAGAGACCACTTCATCGCCCTAGTGCTGGTAGCAATGAGAATTACTTCGCGTAGCGACGTACACCGAGATCTCCGTCTTGCCACTCAGACGTAGTGAAACAAGCACGTGACTTTAGGTAGGCACGTTTGCCGCCAGAGGGAACTAAAGTATTGAGCTAGCAAGGCCGATTATCCGGATTAAGAAAATGATGAGTTACTTTGCAAAGCTTACAGCCAAAAAAAAAAAAAAC